CTATATGTATTTTCTTTCGAAACAGAAAAATTTAAGACCAAAATAAAACTCGATTGATAAAATAACAAATGGAAAAAGAATTATCCTTAAAATATAATGAAATGAATTAAAAACAAAAAACAAAACAATCTTAAAAAGAATAAAAATATAAATCCATCTGTCTTTCATTTGTCTTACGAAAGACTTTTTACTATATAAGAGCTTCCTTGCCAACTCTTATGTTGTCAGCAGTCGTTGCTTGAGGTAATTCAGTGAAAACCTCTTATGCATAACATTTTGCTCGCGCTGCTCCAACAGTCAAAATGGCCGAGTTAGGAAAGCATTGGAGTGCCATTCGAGAAAATATCCTAAGCTCTAATCCTTCGGCATCGGATTTTTCAAAAAATTTTTTCTTCTTTAACTTAATTTTATTTTGATTTTAGGGTTTATCGTTAAAAAAATATAAAAAAAAGTTTATTTAATTTAATATTTAGAAGCTTATTTTGTGTATTTTCTTTTCTTTTTTAATTTAAATTTACATCCCTTTTAATTTTTAGTTTTTATTGTTAAAAAAATAGTTTTTTTTCATTTAATATTAAGAAACTTATTTTAATTTTATTTTTTCCTTTTTAATTTTGTATTTCTACTTATTTAATTTTTAGATTTTATTGTTTTAAAAAAGAAATAGTTTTTTTAATTGCATTCAATTTTTAGAAACTTGTTTTATTTGTTTTCTCTTTTTTAATTAATTTATTTTTTTATTTATATCTCTTTTAATTTTTAGATTTTATTGTTTTAAAAAGAAAAATAGTTTTTTTTTATTTAATTTAACTCCTAGGAACTTCGATTTATTGATTTTGTTGATACTGGGAACTACCTACCATTGGTTTAATCACATCAGAGAGTTCTCGCTAACAAACTCATCGACAGCCTTATTTCCAGAGAAGTTCGATGGTCAAAAATCAAAATATTTCTTAGCTATTCGAGAGGCGAATATTTAATCATTTGTGTTCCACCTTTTTTATACTTCCGATCAGCTCATAGGGCTCTTCTGGTCTATTAAGTAGATGGTGAGGTCCAAGCTTACCCTGCCCCTGCTGACTCTAGTGCGCCCTTTAACCGAATAAGTTGGAGTGGCCCACTGAAGCTTCCCTCTTTCTGTTGTGGTCCTACGCTCAACTCGAATTGATCTATAGTTTGCGTAGAAAAATTTCGACGTATATACTTATATAGATCCAATTTCTGGGCAAGATCCGGTGATCGATTAAGTCCAATGTGAAAACTTCCCTGGCTAACTCATCTTCAACCTCATTACCGGCAATGTTGTGGCGATCATGTACCCAAGCTAGGTGTACTTCCAACTGACGCCCTAATCAGAGTGGAAAATACTTGCCAAGTCAGGTAGATTGATTAATAATCTTAATCCCAGGTACTTAGTGAAAGCGCTTTCTCCAACTTTATTTTCTAATTTGGAGCCATGGATGTATTCTTGCGGAAGTATCAAATTTATCATTCCAGTCGGCTCTCGACAGGAGAAGAACTTCGAAGGGTCTATATACTTTCCCCAAAATTTATTGGACCATGCCTATCCTTGACAGCGAATTTTGCAACAGAGACATAATAGTTTTGGAGAACTCTCAAATTTGTGTACTCAAAAAGCATCGCTTTTCGACTACGAGGTCTTTGAGAAGCTTCCTAAATATTTGTAGCGAGTAGCTACGTGGTTCAAGGACATGAACCTAGGGGCTAATATCATCAAGTCAGTTCGCACCACTATTTGTAGACTATTTAAAAGGAAAATTGCTGTTGAAGGTATTTTCCAAAGGGAAATTCCGCTTTTACTTCACTGGATGAATTGACCACATGTCTTTAGATTCTTTACCTCTAAAATAGAACTCCACAATTAATAAAGGATATCCTATTAATAAAAATTTTCGCTTTTGTTTTCAGATGCCTCCATGGATGACACACCCTTATCGCCGAATGTTTGCCTATCCCCAAAGTCAATGCTACGTCTAGTCGTCGACCATGATGACTTACACAAACGTAAGCTATACAAGACCTACACATCCGATGGCGTAGCGAAAACGCACAACTCCGAGGCAGAGTATAATGAGTTCATCAACCAGGTACAGTTAACGCCAGTGGCTTTTATGAAACTCTGCCCAGCGCTGTTAGCGCAAATCGACCAGCATGTGTGTGTGCGACCAGCGCCGCTAACAAATGGCGACAACCCCAAGCAGGCATTGTGGAATGGTGAGTGAATATGCAATAGATACATACTTAGAAAGACCCGAACTTGCTCTAACCACTTTTTTCTAATTTCTTCCACGCAGCTTGGATTTACGCCAGCATTTCCATATTCATACTCTCCGCATGTGGGCTGCTGGGCATCCTGCTGGTGCCGCTGATGAAAACAATTGCCTATCAGGAGATCTTAAAGTTCCTTGTCGCTGTGGCTGTGGGTACACTGGCCGGTGACGCATTGATGCATTTACTGCCACACGCTCTGGTGCCCGAACATGGCGCGCATGAGTCTAGCACAACAGAGTCTGAACACGACACTCATGAGGCAGTTTGGATCTGTGCATGCGCATTCTTCACTTGCATTTTTATGTACATACTGGAACATACCTTACCGCTGCTGCGAGGCGAGAACGCCAAAGGACATGGACACAGCCATTCACATGGCGGACACTCACATACACATAGTCATGCGCACGCACATCACAGTGAGCATGCGTCAGCTGATAAAACGTCCAAAAATGGAATCGATGCCGATAGCATGGTGTCACCGGTCAACACCGACGCCAAGGAAATCAATATAATGTTGCACGAAACCAAAAAAGATGAAAAGTCGCCATCACGTCCGCTCACACCAGTAGCCTTTATGGTTGTCATCGGTGACGGGCTGCACAATCTCACCGACGGTTTAGCGATCGGTGCCGCCTTTGCCAGCGATCCAGTGACGGGCATGGCGACTGCCTTTGCCGTACTCTGTCACGAACTGCCACACGAGCTGGGCGATTTCGCGCTACTCCTGCAGACGGGAGTGTCGCTGCGACGCGCAGTCTACTTGAACATTGTCAGCTCTGTTTTGAGTTTTGTGGGCATGGCTATTGGGTTGTTCATAGCTGGCGCGCATGGAAATATGACACAGTGGATTTATGCCGCCACAGCGGGCTCGTTCCTCTACATAGCGCTAGCCGATCTGGTGCCGGCAATGAGTGAGGCGGAGACGCATACGGGAGATGCTAAAAGTAAACTTAAGGGTACCCTCATACAGATTGGTGGCATGCTGCTGGGTGGTTTTATAATGTTGGCCATTGCTGTGAATGAAGAGGCGCTGGCAGAGCTTTTTAAGTGAAGAATAAATGTACCCCCTGGAGAAAAATGAGTATAAATGGATGGCATACATTCCCGAAATAGCATTTAAAATATTTTGAATGAATTTTTGAAGCACAGTTTTGGTGGACTAATATTTACCAACTAGTTCCGATATTCTGTAAAGTTTGTCTTAAGTGTTAAAGTATTATTAATTATATTTTAGTTAGTTTTAATTTTTAGCTCAAAAGTAGAAACGTATAACGAAACAGGTAGTTTTAAAGAAAAGATTACCTTAAAGTGCATTGCCAAGTATGTATGTTTATTATTTGTACATTAGACTGCATTACCAAAAAAAAGTTACGGTTTTCCGCCGGGGTTACAAAACCTATCATATTTGAAGATGTCCACCAAAATATATCGGAAAAATATTCAAATTTACGTGAGCTGGACCGATTTGAAAATACCGCCAAAAATGGATTTATTTTATGAATAAAAATAGTTTTTAAGAACTTTTTGAAAAAATCCCCTCAGTTGAAGATTGGTTTAAGAAAAACTTTGATATCTGGGCCAAAACTATTCCGATTTAGACTTATGATGTATCAGTGGAAAGGTATTTTCCCACTCTTTTTATTTATTTGCAAAAAAAAACTAATCACGTCCCATTTTTTTCAAATGCCGGCCCATCTTAATTCCACTTTTATACTTTTAAATGAGTTTATTTGTAAATAAATAGAAAGGGTGAGAAATTATACCTTATAAGTCTAAATCGGAATATTTTTGGTCCAGTTATTCAAGTTTTTCTTACACCAATCTTTGAAAAAAGTTAAAACAAGTAATTTTTAAGCAAAAAACAAAACCGACTTCAATTCTCATATACAAATTTAAGATTATCGTTAATTTCTTCATGATCCCATGATCGGATTTAAACCAAATAAGTATGGAACCACCTGTGAGGTAACACCTTTCCTTAAAAAAAAAAAGAATTAAAGAAAACGGTTAACATGGTCCAAGGTTATGTTACATAAAAAAAAAATATTCCGACGAATTGATAACATTCTCCTTTTTGTGAAGTCGGTTAAAAACAGCATCAAAAATCTCATTATTGCGATTCCGTTACATTTTTTTTATTTTTATGCATATTTTTTTATGCTTAAACTGCTTTGTCATTTGAGGGAATTTTTATTCATAACAAACTCCCTTTTTTTGAGTTATTTCCAAATCGGTCCAGCTCACGTAAATCTTAATATTTTTCCAAAATATTTTCGTGTATGTCTTAAAATATATTATAGATTTTATAATTCCAATGGAAACGCAGTAGCGTTATTTGTTTTTTTTTTTTTGTATGGGAAGTGATGCAGTCTAATATAAGTTATATTTTTGAAATAAATAATCTAACGAAAATAAAACAATATACAAAATTTGGAAATACACTTATAATTAACTGATTTCACAACCAGCAGAGCGGTTATAAATCGAAAGTAGTTTTCTTTACTTATTTAGGTATACCTTTTTCTCATTAGGGCCCCTTTTAATTTTTCATTGACTAATTTAAGCTGGAGAACTGACCTCTTTTTATTGTGCATGTAAGTACCTGTCTTTTTCAACTTCCTTCTACAAGATAGTGAGCATGCGAAGCAGAAATGTAGCACACATTTAGGCGAATGGCATGTTGATTGGCTAAAGCACGCCTTAAGTTAATTTAAACGTATTTATGCGCATTTATTAATATATAAAACAACGATTTCAATGAAATAAACTTGTCGCATTCATTCAAGCTATCTGCTGCTGTGATTCTTCAAAAGGCTCATTGGGTAAGCGTGCAGGATTCTAAAAATGAAGACGAATACTCAGTAAATATTTTTAACAACTAATGTAGCACATTATTTACCAGTTTCTTAGCGCGTTCCTCTAATGTACCGTAGGCTACATGATCTAACGTAAATCCAGCAGGTAAGGCAACACCTTGCACTCGATACAACGCATCTTTATCGCCTTCATTAGCAATCTTATGCGCAGCTGCTACTGTACATTTGCCAAGAAAACGTGATGAGGCGACCATAGGACCACGAGATATATCTATATGAGTACCAATGCGATAGAGGGTAACACGTCCTTGATTCTGTTGTGCGATGCTGGGCAATTGCTCGCGTTTGTAATGCGAATCGGCAAACATTTCCAAAGCAAGTTCGTTATTGACATCAAGACGTTCGATTTTCAAATCTTTTGCTGCTAATTTAACCATCTCAGCGGAGAGGGCACGCAATTCAGCCTTACTAGGCTGCCAAGATTGTGCACGCAACACAACGTCGTAAACAAAACTACCAGTTTTTACTGAAATGCAAGTAGAGTAATGAAGTAATTTACATTTTTAACTCAAAGTGTGAAAAACTTACTATTTGGAGTAGGGAAACTGTGTAATTGCAATTGTGCTTCATCAGTAAATGAATTTTCCAGCGCTGCTCCTAACATAAAACTACATGTGCGCCAAAAAGCTCTGCATCAAGATAAAATTGGAATATTTATTAACTTATAATATGTTATTTTAGAGGTATACACAGTGTCCAACATACTTGTTTATTAAATGAGGATCAGCAACTGTGAAATTTAGCAACTGCAACGTGCAAGATTCAGTCAGCGGGCGATGCACATCCCATGGCACATTTCCATCGATTAGCGCTAGAGCGGAACGCTTACAATGGCCTTCACTTAAATGCTGCGCGCAATTGTAGGGCGTGGATAAGTTAGCATTCATAGCTAGTGTTACATCTTGCGGCAATCCAAGGTAGCGTACTTCTATTTTTTCCACTCGTCCAACGGCTTCCTGTTGACGACGCTGTTCTTGAGTGAAGAGTTCATTTCGTTTAAGCAATGCGGGACTGATAGTGGGATTACTGCTGGAAAATTTACCTACGATGAAAGAAAATAAATAATTGTTCTTGTACTAAGTTGAAAATAAATGAAATGAAATAAACTAGGCGTCCTCAACTCCGTATTTGTGCAAATCTAGCAGTGTTGTTTGCTTGCAGTCACTTTTATATAAAACTTCAAAATTGTATTCTACGCCATGCCGAAACAAAAAATTCTTGTATTAAAAACTCACGCAGGCTTGTCAATCCATGAACGCGATTCGATGTATTTAATACTGTTTGGAAAAACTGTTTAGTGACCACCATTTCCTTTGTATTTTATAGAATTTTCTTTTAACTTTTAAAATTTATTTCCTACAGAATTTCCACAGGCGGCAACAGAAGTGTTATCAAATCAGTATAAGGCGTGTTTAATACACCTTGAATCAGTCAGTTTACCGAACAGCTGATTTCAACGTGCTTTGACATTGCCACTGTGCTTGTAATTGTTTTTGTTTACCTTCTGGAGTGATTATGGACAAAGAACGTAAATGTATAAGAAGCGACAACTCGTTACTTTGAAAAT